CGCCGCGGGACGCCGGGGGCGCTGCCGCGCGGGGCGCACTGGGAAGTGTAGTGCCGGCGAGGGAGACGGGGTCCCGTGGGGCATGCCGGGAGATGCAGTCCCGCTCCCTCACAGCCCCGCTGTGGGAGCCCCTCAGCTCCAGCCTGGGGCCCCGGGAGGCTGCAGCGCCCCGGCCCCTGCACCCGCTCTCGGCCTCTTCCAGGCGAGCAGGCCCTGGGCTTCGGCCCAGCACACGCAGATGCTCGGCTCTCCCCTGGCAAATGAACACACGAGCAGACAGAACTGACATGGCCGCTGCCCTGTCACAGCACAGCCCAGCACCGAGACCTCCAGGCTCTGCTATTTCAAGGAAAAAGTTCTCCAGCTTCAACCCCGCTATGTCCCTTCCTGCAGGAACAGAGCTGGGAAGTGTTTGGGTCACAGAGCTACAGCGCAAATGTGCTTTTCTTGGGAATTCTCCCAGCCCACTTAGGTACTCTTACTCAGAAAAATAACTAGAGAAAGTTAATTGGGACCTTGAGAAAAGAGCAGGGGTCAAAGTCATACAATGAGTACAGAATTTATTTAAACAAGCACACATGCAAATGAAACAAGCAAGAAAAGCCACTATCCTTGGCAGGGTGACTGCAGTCTCCAGAGTGCCTTGAAAGTACAATTGCTTGCCTAATGATTGCAACAAGAACCATATTCAAAGCATTTGATTAGAACAATTAAAAAAATGAACATGAATCTTAATTTTCCTTAGGAGAAAATGTCCAGTCTAGTAAAGAATCCTAAATGAGGTGCAATGGCTTCCTCCACTGAGGCAAATTCATCAGGAATTAGGAAACATCTTATGAAGGAACAGAAGTTCCTGAAATTTTGCCTGTGGTTTACAAGGAGTGATATATGGGTGTCACATTTTTTTTTTGCAGTTCAGCTGCACACTGTGAGGCCCAGGGCAGGAATTACCTGAGAAGGCTTTACACTCAAAATGAATACATAAATCTGCTATAGGCCTATTGCAAATGAGGTTATTCAAATTAAAGTGTCCAATTCTTAAACTTTTGAACTATTTGATACACAAGACTTTTTCTAATTGCTTCTACTACTATGGGGGAAAAAAATCATTAGAAGACAGAAACAAAAGAAAACTGCTTACAGCTAGAGTTCCAGTCCAAGGGTGCATCAGCACTCAGCAAATTAGACCCTGCCAGGGGAACACAGAGACATGGCAAGTAGGAAAACAGGCACAAAAGGCAAATGACTCACCCCAAGTTACCAGCAGGTCAGTGGTACAGCAGGAGACAGGAGCAGCTCTCTTAAGCATCAACCAAAGACATTTTTTGGCGGCAGCCAAAAATGCAACATTAAAACATTGAGAGCTCTGAAAGGTCTTTGGTCTTACTGTACAATTAGGAACTAATTTTGTGACCTTTCATAACTCAAAATGGACATCTTTGGTAAAGAAACGCTGGACATCTTCACGGGAAAAGCAGGATGTTTTTCTGCAAGATTTGCTAAAAAAAGTTCTTGTGGCTTTTGTGATAGGATCAGAGCTGCTGTCAGAGCTGAAATACAGCACTGTGACAAGTAAGAGAGAGGATTGCCCTGAAGGCCTGCTCCAGGGTCTGCTTTTATTCTGCTCAAATCTACAGCCAAATTAAAAGAAAGAAAATTAAGAACTCTAGGTCCCAAAAGTACTATGAAGTGGATAAAAGTACTGGGCATGACTGATTACTTGGCTTTTAATAAATGGTTTATGGACATAGTGCAACTGTAGCACATGTCACTTTATTCCCTGTGTAAAAAATTATTAATAAAGATATCAAAGTTGATGGCTGAGAAATTCTTTAGCCTTAAAAAACTTTCATGCCTTCATCCTTCTTATTTTTTTCCCTCATCCTGGTAGTAACTGAAGTTTTCAAAACCGTTTCACAGTAGTGACCAAAGTAGTTACCCAAAGTAATGTTCTAGTCTGACAATGATGCATTTGGAACTCGACTTAGACTCCATCACTCTATCAAATCTTCAAAAGATTTGATGCCTCCAGGAGCCAGCTTGCAGTCGTAATAAATCCACAAACTTTGGCACGGAAGCTACAGGATCTCCAGGCAGGAGGTCGATTAGAAGTAATACATTGTAGGAAAACCTACTTGGGAAGGAAGGTTTCGATTTGGACAGTGCTTTTGACAAATCGTGGCAACAATTACATTGTGGAAGGGCACGCCCGGGAGCATTACTTTAACACCTTATTTTCCAATGGTTAATAGGGGTCATTGAAGGGGTAGTGGGGGTGTCCAGCATCTCTGGCTACTAGCTTTCCATCCACCTGTGAAATAAACAAGACAGACTCAAGTCAGAAAGATAAAATCCATTCTTACTCGCAGTTTTTAGTTCTCCATGATTTAGATTTCTAAACCTTTGTATCCCAAACACCTGGGAGTACATTTTTCAGTTTAAACAAGAACTCTTCCCTCTACTCCCAACTCCTCTTAGCCTTTCTTGAAAGAAAAGACAGACTTCTGTAACCTTGAGTAAGAGTCTCTCAAGCTGCAGAGACTCAGATTAAACTAAGGATAGTTAAAAGCCTTGTGCTTTGTAGGTATTACTGAGTAAGTGCTGTAACATGCACACTTTGAAACACTTTATTGGAGTTGGAGCCTTTGTCCATGTTTCCATGATAAGAGAATTGCTGGGCTGCCAATTTTAGAGATGGATGAAACACATTGAGAGGCTTGTTCAGGGTCATATACTGAGGCATTAATAGTGCCACTAAACTCCTTTTAGGGATATTTCCACAGAAGACTAGCTTCTCCAACTGTAAAATGGGAGCACTGAAACCAATATTCACAGATAACCAGAGGCTTAGACTGGCCCAAAACCAGACATGGCCATGCAGAAGTCTCAGTTCTTACATCTTACATCCCACCTCAAAGCATTCAGAGGGACAACTTGCATTTCTGTTGCACCAAGTCTATTGCAACACCCCCAACGTCCCTGTAGCTGAGGTAAACCCTCATCTGTAATGTTTGGGGAGGTCTGGGTGCAGCACTGGCCCAGAGCACACACCTCCCCATGTGTAAGGCAAGCATCTTCCAGCCAAAACTTAAGTTAAACAACTAATGCCTCAATAAATGTTATATTAGAGAAATCTTTGATTTTTATATGTATAAAAGTGATGGTAGCTAGCACTCAAAATGTTATGGGCACAGAGGGAATCACAGGGACTTCCAAACCAAGTATCCACTAGCAAGTGCCCCATTAGCTTTGAATATAAAACCTGCATTTCAAAGCAACTGGAATTCGTGCAATGAGCTGTTTAAATGAAATGAGTCACCTGGGGGCATTGCAGAGCACAAAATGATGTTACAGTGTAATATTTGATTAATGCTTCAATTAAAATAGACCTGAAATGAAGCTGTCAGCTGAAGGCAATCCTTAAAACAGAAGCGTCACAGTAGCTTCAGGTTTCCTCCAGTTCTCTTGAAAGCCAACAGCTTCCTCATGTTCCTAGAATTCATATTCTCCACTTTCTCCCCCCAGTTCTGTCCCCCTGCATATTTGTCCACACAGGACAGGCAAGCATTCTTATTCACAGCAGGCCAAGACAGCAGCTGCCAGAAGCAATGTTTCACATCACTGATTCCAGTCTACTCTAGGAATTTGAGAGAAGGGGGGTAACATCAGCAATGAACACACCTGCAGGTCAGCAGTAGCTAACTCTTAAAAAGACATCATGATGTGCTCACTACATTCCTCCTCTCCTGGCCTGACAGTTGTTTAAGTTTCACTTAAGTATATTCCTTGGCCAATGATATGTTTACTAAAGTTTGGATTTCAGATTGATGCAGGGTAACTTCCAAACTCTATCCAGATAATGAACAGTTAGAAGTATAGAGCAACTTTAATTGTCTATATGCAATGTAATAGCCTCCCCTCAGGCTCCTCAGAGGAAAAGAGTGGCACAATTTTAAGTACTTGGGGCTATAGGTCAATGAAGTAAAGCCAAGAAGAACTGCCTCATCAGTTATGATAGGAGCTCTCATGTCACTGCCATATCATACACTTTTTTAAGTCAGATTCATAGTGGATAGGCATGAAAGGTTAGACAGGAATTTTAATTCACAGTTGATGAAAATTTTTTCCAATAAGCCCAGAAGGGATGGGCAGGAGACAAAAGGTTCCATTAGAGATCTTAGAGCTACAGAGCTGTGTTTTAGCTCTACTCATCTTGCTTCATCCTGTCTTGTTATCTGACAATATGGCAATATCTTTGAAGCCCAGCTGCATCACATTCACCCTTTCTCAAGCTGGATGGGCTGCCACTTTGAACTGTATTTCATCTCTCCTCTGTGAATCCCTGTGATCTGATCAGGTCTCCCAGGTAACAAAAAGCACATGAATTATCCCTGGCTCATTCAAGCCAGGCTACATTTTAATGTATTTTGCAGTTTCATTAACAAAACAACTTTGCAGCATGAGTAGGAAAACACTTGAAAGAAACATATTGTCAGCCGCAGGTGTGCTTGTCACTACCCCATTCACACAGATCAGCTAAGCTGTTGTTTGGTATACAGACTCCTGATCCATAAAAATAGAGAATTCTGGCTGCAGGGATGTGGGGGTTTATATTTATGCACACTTATACATACACAGTTAAAAGGGTGGCCTTGAGGCTCATGTAAGCATGACAAACAGTGAAAGCTGTTACACATATCTACCCTTGATATGAGACAGTCATTCCCCACACATTCACAGCTTCTCTTTTCTAACTTGGTCTGGTCACTAATATACTCTCAAGTATTCAAAAAAAACCTCACAATGATAAATACTGGAGAAAAGCTTTCCCCAAGGAATTCCTATAGCCAGCACAACTACAGCAACTTGTTGGAGTTGTCATATCCTGGTCAGTGATGCACCAGGGAATGGCAACAGCTTTCTGTTGTAAAGTCAGAAGCAGGACAAGAAGAAATGAGAAACACTATAAAGTCAGGAGATAACAAGGCATTGACTATCTTCTTTGCAATGAGGGAAAAGGAACAAGTCTAGATCCTTTAATGTAATAAAAGACTACACTTACAAGGTAGTGGCTTCTCTAAAAACAAACTGGCATCTGCTAGCGTATGAGGTAAAGATTTGTGTGACACAGTAAGTTAATCATGCTAAAAGATGCTGCAGCTAATGGATTTGGGAAGAAGAACAGAACAGCCTAATCCAAACTCCTTACACTGGAAGGTCTTTACAACAGATTCTGAAAAGGGGAACATGCAGCAGAGGGGAGGGGACAAATTCCCTGATGTGACTTCCACATGGATGTGGAGAAGCAGCAGCACCCTGAGTCTTCACTGATCTCAGAGGTTTATGGTACAAAGTGGACAACTGGCACAAAGGAGTACTTCTGGAGGAATGCCATGGAGCTTAACCCACTTGGACTTGAGAAGAATAAGTCAGCAGGAGTTTGGCAAGGTTTGAAGATGGGACTCTGTCTTAAAGACCCATGGGAGTCAGTAATGAGAACTCGAGAGAGACACCCATGTCCAAAACAGAAGACAAAAGTTTTCAACAAGCTGTCTTTTCTGTACACAGCTTTTGAAAAATTCTTTCATCTTAGATACCCTAAGAAGATGCAGTGTTCTTATGAAAAAGTAGTTCTGATGGGAACATTAAAGAAATGAAACTGTAAAAATCCCAAGTGGTAGTAGCCATATGCACATAATGAAAACCATTAGAAACTCAAGTAATTTACCGTAATCATTGGCACAATATAACGCCAGTTTTTATTCAGGCTTCCAATGTGGTTCATCTCCTCTTCTGTAAGGCTGAAGTCAAACACCTAAGAACAAAAGCCAGAGGCTTTACTCAATAACCATAGGTTGCCATCAGTTTGCTTTCTGCTAATAAATATGAAATTGCAGTTAAACTCATAACAAACACCAAAGCAAAGGCTTAAAGTCTGAGCTGTTCACAAATCTGCCAGCTCTAAGCTTACTTTGGTATTGCATAGTGCTCTGCCACTAATATAGAAAGTCATGGGACTGTTTCTCACAGTAAGTACTGCCTATTCAATAAATATTCTGTTTCCATGTAGATTTAAACCTTGAGCAACTGCAGAATTTATGGGAATTTCTTGAGATTTCTAGCAGCACACTGCATGCCAGAATTCAGATTAATGGGAGTAACAGTTACAGAAATAACTCCTTACATAAAACCAAGTTTTTTAGGAAAAATGTTCCAAGGAATTGGTTCAGAAACATCCCTCAATATTACTTAAAGTCTGGGTTTTCAAATCATTTCTAAAGTCTCTACTTCTGTGCAGAAGTGAACCGTATGTACTCCTCCAGCATCATTAGAATTGTAGTTTGCTGGAGAAGTAGCCACCAGCCCTCGTTTGCAGGATAGAGCAACTATTACTCATAAACAAGAATCACTGAGCACAATTAGAAGACACCCTATCTAAATAAATTTGTGTCTCAAAAAAACTTAAGTACATATTTTTCATCTAGACCTCTATGAAGTACATTCTTTACCTTGTGATAACAAGACTCTGCATGTGCACACTGCACACACTCACACACCAAACTGCTTAAAACTTGTCCTTTGTTTTCAAAAAGTATCTTTACCCTCCCTGCCCAGCGTGTGCATACGTTGATGAACAAGTAAGAACCGAGTGCCTCAGCTTGCTGCTCTGCATGCTGTAGGACAGTATAGCAATTACTCATGTGAAAAGGGCATTTCTGAAACTCCTCCATTTCAGCTTACCTGGAGATTCTGCTGAATGCGAGCAGGAGTGACACTCTTGGGAATGACAACCACTTTACGCTGCACTTGCCATCTGCAAGAGGAGGTGAGACACTTTGTCTGTGCATGCAGTTCAAGAACAATAAGCATTTATTTTGGCTGAGTAATAATCTGTGGCAGCAGAGATGCCACTTCTGTGAAATAAAAATCTCCACAGGAGTCACACAGCCCTGTATTGTATTATGACCTGGTGTGTACAAGCTCAAGCAAGACAGTAACAACTGAATTAATCAGAGAGGGAAAGATATTCATGCCTTGGAACAAGCACCCAGGTTTCAAGTGTTTTAAGCTAAAAACCCAGGAAACAGTCAGAAAAACATGCTTAGGCATTTCAATCAAGTTCTAACCTGACAACTACTCAGAAACTAGATAAAAAACCAGATCCCTGAAGTGCCTGTCTAGTGGCTTGAGCACAAAGTCTTGAACATTTTCAAGACAACATATTCAGCTCTCTGAGTAACCTGCTGCTGCCCAAGACTGTGGTAGTGACACTGATGGGTACAAAGCCAGTCAAGAAAAATGAGGATAGAAATCAAATTTTAGTTCACAAGGTGCTGATCGCATTCTGGGTATCACCCAGTCACCTTGTTTCCTAATATCCAGTACCTGTCTATGTATAAACAAAACAGCAAATAGTTCTTCAGTGCAAAGGAGGTAAGTCTTTTCCTCAGCCCCTCTTCCTGGGAGCCCACCTGAGTGTAGCAGCAAGCACTAGAGGCTTCAAGGAACTGGCCACATGCAAATTCAGCGGGCAGCACTCAGATGTGGGTACACTGCTGCCTTACTTGTCCTACTGCTATTTCCCAGCAGAAAAGGTCCCAGACATGGCAACAGTCCATGTGAACTATCTCAGATATGGATCCAGCCCTGAATGGAACCCTCTGATCTAGTCTACCTGCCCTAAGGCAGGACCAATTTTACCAGCTTTGTAAAATAAGCACCAAGTGGGGTTTGTTTTTGGCACCCCTTGTGATTTTAACCCCTCCCTGACACACTTTAAGTGGATTCCTTCTAGCTTGTATGTTTTGCTTGATTGAAGGCTGGGTCCCAAACACCACTTCTCACAATTCTGTACCTGAGGAGGATCTGTGCAGGTGACTTGCTGTATTTTTCTGCAATTTTTTTGATCCCAGGTTCCTCGAGCAGCACAGGCTCATCTGGGTGTTTCCACATGCGATCTGGAGAGCCAAGGGGACTGTAGGCAGTGACCACCAGTCCTCGTTTCTGGCAGTGAGCAATCAGCTCATTTTGAGCTAGGTAAGGATGGCATTCCACCTATTAAAATGACCCACAATGAGTGGCTACAAGAACAGGTATCAACACACAATGAAACAAATAGGAAGTCAAGCACAAAAGAACCAAACATATCACAGGAGTTCATTTCAGATTCCAGAAAACCTTATGAGGATAAGGTTTAAGTTAACCTTAGTAACTCAAGTCACTACCAGGAGAAAGTGTCTGGTAGGCTAAGCTTATAGGAAACAAAGAAGAGATCACCTAAGCTTGATGCTGGACTTTCCCTTGGTACCAAACAGATCATCCAACAAGCAAGCAACTTCTATGCAGTAGGGATTCAAATTACTCCCTCACAGTCTTTCCTTTTTACAGACTAATTGTTCATCATATGAAACTCTTCCACAAACCTGTTCACCTGAGCAGGTAGAAATGCCCACAGGAACATGGATGTAGGCCTCCTTTCTAATCTGCCTAGAAAGACAGCCTCCGTGTGCCTGCTCCTGCAGAGCTGGCTATATTCTTTACTGCAAATAAGAACCTGAACCTCTTGTGCTTAACACATGGCATTGGTTTGCAAATTCTTCACTCTTATGGACAAATAGGAAAGGTATTTGTTTCTATCCATGTTACCTGGAGCACGGCTGGCTTCACAGTAGCCACACTTAGTACATCATCAATCTGACGACTGTTGAAGTTTGACAGCCCAATGGCTTTCACAAGACCTTTTCCCACCAGTTTCTCCATAGCCTTCCAGGTATCCTTGTAATCAATGTAGTCGTAACGCATGGTGTTATCGGGATTCTTTGGGAAGAGATTGTCCCCTCGTCTACAGCATCAAAGGTAAAGTGTAAGTACACACACCAAATTATTTATGTTAGTTCTTCACATAAAAAAACCTTCCTCAAAGTAGTCTTAAAAGTTTCTACATGGTCTGAAAGGCAGAGTACAAACTGAATGAATCTGTCTGTTCAATTCCCTTACGTGACTTAACCTATAAGCAGTTATTACACAAGATAGTCTTTCCTAGGTAAAACTGTAACACAGCACTTGGAAGTACTTGCCTATACAGCAGCAACTACACAGAGCTGATAAACCAATGCACACACAGCAGCAGCTCTTTGCACACTTTGATCCCAATAAAACAGCTGATTTAGGGAGCAGCGACCCAAAGAGCGGCTTGGAGCTGCTACCAAAGGGATCTGGGCTTGAGAGCTATCTAGGAGAAAATGTATTCAAAGAACACTGGCCTTCCCACTCCCTCTGGATTCTGTAGCTGTGTCACTGCTCAATACAAGCACAGATTCTCCCAGAAGTCTTAACACGTACATGTTGCTTACAGGTTGTGTGTGTTTCCTTCCAGTTAGTCATACCAGCACATTAAAAAAAGCCCACCCAAACAGACACAAAGTGCCCAGCTGTGCCAGCTGACACCCCCACAGCCAAAGGGCCAGGACTGGTCTCTGAGCAGTAGTCCATGCTGGGAAGGGTACCAGCTATCCCCCTGGAAAAGCACAGCTCTGTAATCACCACAGGACTCTGCTAGCTCAGCACTGAGACTCTTTACAGTGCTCTTGCTGAGCAGTGAATGGTGTGAGAAATGGCAATACTTGGGGACAAGGGGAGAGGGTTCTTCATGTCACTGATAAATCTAGAACCAAAAATAACTCTGAAAGCCTTATGAGTTCCCAAGTGAGAAAAGCAGCCTCATATGTCAAGAGTACTGTATCAAGTGAGAGTAATTTTCAAGACCTAAAGACACTGTGAGTTTAATCTGGAAGTCTGTTTTTATTTCTCTGTAAATAACATTCCTTAGCTTCACTTCCCAATGCAACAGGCATTATAAATAAACATGCATTAAGACAGTTAAGTAGCAATAATGGAAAACTGCAGAGTATACTGTTTCCAATGAGAAAAGGAATGAAACTCCTTATTGGACTGTCTGTTTTGTCAACGGTGTCCCAATATAATCTAAATTTAAATATTAGTGGTATTTAAACATACATTATTATTTGTATTACGTGTCATCAAAGCAATGTTTGATGGGGTGGGTTTTTTCAGGCAAATGAAAAGCAAACCCATTGCACAACAGGGGGAATTTTTAACAGCTCTTCCTCCAGACCAGTTCTAGTTAAAAACACTTCCTCATTCTGTTAAGCTGAGGAATATATCTATACTTTGAGCATCTTTCATCTTACCATTAGTGTATGGCATTTGAAAAATTCAGTTGATTTGACTAGAAGGAGAAAAAAATATTCTCAGATTTGCAGAACAGAGACCCCTTAAACTGAAAGGGCTTGAGTGAAGACTCCATGCAAACATCTGGCAAGGAGACTTATTCCTCCTGCCTTTTTGCTGATTGTAGTTGGGTGGGGAAACAACTACTTCCACATCGACAGGGAAATAGAGTATGGAACTGTGCTTCTCATGGGCTTGTAGGGTAAGTGCACTTAACTGGAAAACCTTTTTGTCTCTTATTTTCTCAAATTATAGAAACTGTTTCATAAGAAGTCAATTCACTTCCTCCTCATACCACCATGATACTGCATGTGCTTGTCCACTACAGTACAGTTAATAACTACAAGTGAAAAGTAGTTATTAAGTTGTCTTTATGAACCAGTTCCCATTTTACAGATCAGTACAACTAAGGCACAAAGCAGTTCTGGTATTTCCTCACAGTACCATGTAGGCCAATGGCAGAACCAAGAACAACTGCTACACTTCCCCAATGCCTAGATGAAGACACTAGACTGTTTTAAACTTTAAACACCAAAAAACACCTTGCAGGCAGCATAAACAGGAAGAAATTCACAGCTCAGAAAGGACATCCTCAGGATATAACATGAGCCACATGTAAAACTGGTGTTTCTGCCTTCTGTGCCCTTTCCATCTAGAACTTACTCAAAGGCATGAGGCCAGTGCATGAGGTACAGGTCCAGGTAATCCAGTTTCATATCTCCAAGTGTTTTTCTCAGTGCTGGCTCTACATCTTCTGGGTGGTGCTTGGTATTCCAGAGCTTTGATGTTACAAACAGGTCCTCCCTTTTAATAACCTTCAAGAAAGGAAGAGCATAATGTACTGGAGTAAGTTCAGAAAGAGAATTGCAACAATCCCCCAATTAGTTTTAAAATAAAGAACAACTGAAGTTTTGTGGTTTGTTATGTTGTTGGTTTTTTTTTTAAACAGGTAACACATGCAACCTACAAATTAAACCTTTCAAAAATATACTGGATGGAAAAGAGCCAGAGAAATACACACAGTGGCCAGTCTAAAAGCATATCAAATACTTTAGCAATTAGAAGTTTTGAAAAACAAAAAAATCCTTTCCACATAGACACTCTTCCAAAACTTCCAATTCAAGGGTTAAAGCCCAAGTGTGATATGGCCAAAAGAAAGATTACTCAGCTTATTCATATGTAAATTTTGAAATTTCCATTTGACAATTCACATATTCCAAGCCCAACCAGCTAACTTACTTTACTCATCAGATTTATCACATGCTATAAACCAAGATTGCTTCTTGTGAAAAGAGCGTGGGAAATTAATCAGATTCCCCAAACCTCTGCATTTGAGTTTCTAGGCTGTGGAATGAACACAGTAAGAACTGAGCCCTGTACCCCGGTGTTGGAAGGGTAAGGACCAGAAAGAAAACAATGGACAACTGGTTAACTAGAAAGTGTAAAATACAAAAAGGAGAGCACATTGGGCAAACTGAAGCAGAGTATTCCATCAGAAAGGATGCTTCTCACTGTCTCATGTCTGACAAAACTTCACTCAAGTCCATTTTGAAGAATTTGGAATTATTAATTCCTTAGTTTCTCTCTTCCAGCCATTCAGTTATTTCCGTGTTTCACACAAGGATGTTGTGTTTAAAAGGAAGATATTTAAAAATTCTTTTAAAAAGAACTTTGATTCAAATTCTAGTTCCAAGCTAGCTAGCTAATATGGACTGAACAAAATGTTTCCCTTTGTTATCACATCCAGCAGGGAGGAATCCCTGGGGCAAGCTGAAAACAGCCTCTCTCAAGCACATCACATAACAAAGAGACTGCCCTAAAGCCAAAGCAAGAGCAGCAGGAAAACAAGAACATGAAAACTTCCTTTCCAAGAGCTGTGAGACTGTACAGGTTATCCTTTTGGCCCCTTCAGGGAATAAATTTAAGATTACACCTCAGCTCATACATAGGAATGCCTGTCACATTACATTATACTTAGGCCTCAAACTCTCAGGTGCAGACTCTGGAGTCATATTTATGAACCTTTCACAGGCAATCACTGTTTTCAAAAAAAATTAAAATCCACCACATTTATTCACATTTATTCACTATTTTATCTACAACCAAAAAAACCCCTACAGTTGATATTTATCAATAAGAAAAAAACCTAAATTTGCTGTGGCTATCATCCATTGCTTGCTCAACTGGAAAGTCAGGGTAACTTTTCATATAAATCATGACAAATGTTTAACATTTTAACTACTGATTCTGGGAACCCCAAAGTATCCAAACTGGGATACTTTGTGAGGGGAAAAGGAAAAAAACCATCACCACCACCCCCAAAGGCATTTTCTGTAGCTTCCATCTAAATATCCCCAACAATTTTTCCTCTGTGTGACAGCCAGGAGGGTTCTAAGAGGAGAGAAAGCCCTCTTTCATGCCTTCTCCTGATAAATAGCAAACAGCTGGGGTAGACCAGCAGGAAAAGCCACAAATGTCAACTTCACAGGGGACAACCATGAGTTGTGGCACAACACACAGTTAGCAGGGCAGTTCCTGTGTTTTTACCTTGTTGGGCCCAACACATTCCTGGAAGGCCTCCCCGACCTCGGCTTCATTGCTGTAGGCGGCTGCGCAGTCGATGTGGCGATAGCCCATGCTGAGGGCATGTTTCACTGCCTCCTTCACCTGCAACCAGAAACACACTGCCCATGCAGTCACTGAAAAGGGATATGGTGCTGGGGAAAAGTTAAAGAACGCTGAGAGACTAAGTGAGGAACACCCCCCAAAAAAACACAGAGTTGCATAAGGTCATGAGATTCAAACAGGAGGATCTGGAGTCTCTGTGGCACAGTCTTCAGAGGGGAAGAGCAAACTGCTGACAGACACTCCAAGAGGAAACAAGAAAATGGATCATGCACACAGGGCCAGCATGCAAGAATGCACTAGATAGAACAAATCCCCACTCTTCACTATAGTTGTTACACTTTTCTTAAACATTAAGTGAGCTATAAGAAGCAGTTTACAATGAAGTTATGCCTTAGGAAGACAACTTTTCTGAACTAAGTGACAAATCAACATCAGTCAAACCTGGAATATACTTCCTCTTGCTCAGCAGAGAAAGAGGAAGTAACTTCTAACTCCAGAACCACCACAGTTTGGGTTTGGTTCAGCCACTCACAATTACCAAGATAATGCTCTTTTAGGGAACATTTTTCTTTCTTGTCTCATGATTGCACAACCATGAAAGTCATACTGCTGGGATACTCCTCATGATGCTCACAACTTTACATTTTGCTTTCAACATTGCTGACAATGAAGGTGTTGCCAACAGCTACACATCCCTTGCTCCATATTGTCACACAAAAGCCAGAATGTTTATTTGGAAATCAAGGCACTTTACTTCAAATCTGTATCTGGTTTTGAAAGCTCTAATGAAGCACAGGCACCAAACATTGTCACATGCGGGCATCAGATATGAAGCAAGTCTAGAAACCAGAAGGAAACACAGAATGGCATCTTTGTGAGGGCTCAAGGAGCTTTTGAATAAAGATTTTCTATAAATGATTCTGCAAGAATGAATAATTACAACAGTGTAATCATCTCCCATCAGGCTGAGGTCCATTTAGTAAAATCTGTTTCATTTAACTTCCAGTGGACAGTTAGCACACATTCTCTTACATCTGTCCTTCTGAAGTACTACAGAAAGAATAATATAATAATCTGCACAGGGATTTCTGTACATTGCACCTTACTGACTTGTCTCAAGACTGTGGGAGACTATTACTCTGTGTATAAGGCTTGATGCAATAAAAGTTAAGTGAGATCACACCTGTCTTTCATAAGACTAAAAAATATGTCCACAAAGGCTAGAGAGAAATTGATTTCTTTCAACTTAATCGAAGTACCAGCATTTTCAAATTTAAAGCAGACAAAATTAGTAATACCAAGCAAAGGTGTGTACAGTCCTGTTTTCAGATGCTACAAAAGCAATGGGGAATCAAATGTCTCTCTCAGTAGATGTCTTTCCTACTGAATTAATTTGTTTTTCTTGTCAGGAAGTGCAGTAAAAGCAGACACAGGATATTCTGACTACATTCTTTGGCATTTTGAGAGGAAAACTGGAGTGTAGCTCAGTTTCCCTTAGCCAGGATGACAAAGCACTTCTATTAGAGCAGTGAACTCTCCTTTTCTCTAGCAGGATGGCACTTACAGTCCTTGTTTCACCTGACAAAGACATTTCTCAGGTCACTACAAAATCAAGGGCAGGGTAATTCTGAAATCACTTGAGACATAGTAAAGGCTTTTAAGACTCAGTATCTGTCCTCCAAAAAGGTGATATTTGTGGAGAGGCACAGTAAACAGCAGTGTTCTATGTCTGGAATCCCCTATTTCCTGTATCAGATTAATACTTGTTTTAATGAAACAGGCACAAAGTTCACCATAAGTGAAAGTAGGCACCACTCACAGAAAAACAGAGATAAAGCACTTCAGACATGTCTCTGCAAAGCAATCAACAAGAGGTTGTATTTTTTTATCAGCATGTTTTGAGAAATTTCTAGCACTGAAGGTATTTTTGGAGGGGAAAAAATAATAGCATAGATATAACTTTAAAAAAAGTACTTTTTTTAACAGGAAGTTTTGTATTTTTGAGATTAACTTCAGAGAGGTAAACGCATTTAATGGTAGGGGACAGAGAACAAAAACAAAACAGAAGCAGTTGAAGATTCATATGCCTGTGGGTATTTGTTGTTATGAAGTAAAAATAGCCACAGGACCCTTCAAACTTTCCATATATTCTTTAGTTTAGCCTGTCAATACTGCTATGAAAGGAGCAATTGGTGAATTTACTTTGCATTAGGCAAGTTGAGTCACACAGCTCAAGTGTGACTCACCAATCCATCTCCACAGAAATAAAGTTAGGTCTTACTAAAAGTAGGTGTGAAAGGATACTGAGACATCTTCCAGTCTATCCTCAAGGCCCACAGCTGGGCAGAGTAAATCCAGACCACCCTTACACACATTTGTCATAGCCCTTCTTGTGACAGGCAATCTATTCCAATGCTTTGAAATCTTTATGCTCAAAGTCTTTTAGAGGACTCATAAAGATGGCCATGATGGCATATCCCATTCCTCCCAGACATGAAATCCAGCACCTGCGCTTTTTGTGAGGGCTTTTTGCACATTTGCAAAGTGCCAGCACAGCTCCTCTCAAACCTCTCTTGACCACATAACTGCAGGTGCTTCTCCCTTTCATCACAACTCATCTTTCCCAAACCAACTGCATCAACTGTTGCTGCTGCCTCATCAGCTGTTTCCTCAAATGCCCCAAAACAGACAGGGGTATTGCAGCTGGAGCCTCACTCTCCTTCACTTTATAGCAAAGTCCAAGGAACTACACTCCCATTTAAACATCCCAGTAAGGGACTTGGCCTTCCCACCCTCTTTTGAAGATGGATGAACACAGTATCAGTGGCAAATTCAGAAACACAATCTGTAAGTTCCCATTAATTATCCATTACTAGATTTCCAGTTCTTCAATTTGCCTCTCACAAGGTTAAATAACTATAACAAGCCATCTTTATACTTCCAGGCAACACAGAGTTCAAGTGACCCAGGAGCCTCTCGTGCACAACCCCAAGCCATTATGAAGAGATTTCCACTCTTAACAGTTCAATACTACTGGGAAAGAAGGCTCTGACCAGCCTCTGCTGCTTCCTGAAAAGTTGGCATATTTTAGCAGTCCTTTTGCTAACAGGAAGTAAGGAAAAAACAGATAATCAGTGCACGTGATGTTCAGATGCACTATGACCAGAACCCAAGTGTTGCTATATCACAATTTCTAAATATTGCACTAAAATGTACTGAAAAGGAACCCACACCACCAGATAAGTAATGCCAATTTAAAAGGTGATGTTCCCTAAAATAAAGGGGTTTGCTTCTTAACCTTCAAATGTTGAATTTAAGTCCCTTCCTTAACAGCAGTGAATTTTTTTTGTGCCCCTAACCAGGATTCCCTATATTGTCTAACAAACTTCAGGTACTAAACATTCTTCCCTGAAGCTGCAATAGTGTCACAAGACACCCTGTCAGACTGGTTTTCTGAAGTGCACTTCTCTTCAGCTTTTCCAAAGTTTCACACGGAAATACAAGCCCTGTGTCTCCCTGTCCCACAGAACCAGCCCCTGCCACTGCAGGTTAGGCTGCTCATCAGGTGAGGACCAATCCTCCAGGTTGAAAGCATGGCTCACTTGAGAGAAAAGAACAAAGCATTAAAGGATTATAGATAATCCAGCTGCAATATCAAAAAGCCACAGTACTGATATACCTGATGCTCCTGTCTGAATGGATTTCTCTTTGAACTCATTCATGCTCACAAACTTCCATTCAACAGCCCTCTGTCATATTCCTATGGAAACATGCAAAACAAATTTCTCTTCTAGCACTTGATCATGTAAAACACAAAACATTCTATTATTTTGTACAGTATCAATCCCATAACATCCTATAGTCTTTCATCATGGAATTGGATTCAATTATTTTCCCTCTATTAGTATCTAGGAAACTAGGGCTGCAATAACACCTTTGTACTGGACTGCTAAGTTCTGTCTACAAGGTCAACACTTGTTTATAATCAGGAACAGTAACAGCACTAATAAAGAAATTACTCAAATTTGGCAAGGGAAAGAATTACAATCTGCAATATATTTACCCAAAATAATTTAAAAGCCATCAATTTCCACACTTGCTTCTAATGCACCCCTTGAACAAAAGAGCTTTTGATAAATAGCCTCTACTTGGGAAACAGCTAAATCAAATTTAATCAATGCTAATTCTTCTGCTTCTCTGGGGTTTTGGCCCCTAGTCTTTAATTCACAATGGCAGTTTTTATCCCTGAACTATATCATATCCTTTTGAGGGTAAATCATCTGGACACTGCCAAACTGCTGCTATGCCCCCAAATTTTCAAAAGTGATAAGCAGAAATTCATTCATTCCATAAGAATACTAGCAACTTCTGTAACTCTGGCCCTTTTCACTGCACTTCCTAGATTTTGCCTTCAATATATTCTACAAGGAAGTCTTTGAAGACAGCAGATATTCCAAAGAAGTGACTCCCAGTGACTTCCAAGAAAACCCAGAAAAGATGGCTGGATCCTGTGTGGGATTCAGCTGCCAACAGCACTGCTGATTATGGCAAGATCCAACTGAATTAGGTTTAAATTATGCACAACCAGGATCTGTCCCAGTTCCTTTCTAAGGCCACATGTTTCTCAGAACAATTAGTTAACAGAATAAACAACACATTCATTTTTTGTTTGTTTAGTTTCAGACATTTGCTTTAGACAAAGCATATTTAACTGCTTTGACTCCACAGAAATTCATCCATTAAGTTTGTGCATGTTAACAAACTTAATTCAGCTGTCATTTGATATTTTAAGTGGCAAAGCTTTACATTCACCCCCTTCCTCATTTAAGAGGTTGACTGAGCTCTCACACCAACACAGCTTCCACATTAGTACAACTTCTATTTCCAACAGATCCACTGTCCTGACAGTTGTTTGGGCAGGAAGACCCACAATAAAATGGCTCTGAATAGATTTAATTTTCACAGCTTGTTTCCCACCTTTTCCTCTAGCTGGCACGAGAGAATAGCATGCTTTGGGAAGAGTTCTAACTTTCCCTCTAAGTCATGAGCACAATGTCATCCACAATACTCCAAAACACATCATAAAGCTCACACAAGACTAGCAGTGAGACATCCATTTACTGCACATGCAGTGGTGTGCATAATCCAGAGAAGCTGTGGATGCCCTATCCCTGGAAATGTTCAGGGCCAGGGTGGACTGACCTCTGAGAAATGTGGTCTAGTGGAAGGGTGTAATTGGAACTAGATGGTCTTTAAGGTCTCTTCCAACACAAACCATTCTGTGATTCCACGATTCTTTGAATATCACCTAGGAACTCCACCAAGCATTGCACATTACATTTCAGAGGAAGGTACATACAATTTCTTCCCCAAAAAATGTATCTTTTAACTAAATGAAAGAGATACAAATAGACAGACAAAAAGGAGAAGCATTACAATATCAGGCACACAAGGGAGCACACAAACCTTCCCACAGACTGTTTGTAGTAACAGACTGTTTGTAGTAACACACAGAATTGTTTCCAAGTGTGGTGTTTGCCAATTCACTGCATTCAGAAGCAGAGTGAATGTCTAATGATACATGAGTCGTTTTATTCTAAAAGCAGGCTGACCCAAGCAAGTTCTTTGTTTTCCTGCTAACCATTGGCTGATTGCTGGAACAGGACTTATTACAAGAACTCAAGTTTTGCCTCTCAAAATAATGCTTTCTGCTGAGTCATCAGCCAAAGCCAGAGGGGTGTCTGGTCAGACTGGCAGCCTGAGGACTTGCCAGTGGAAGAGTCTGGCACCATATTATAGAAACATCATTCACCCGTCTTCTTCTGGGTTTATGTCCCAAACCACCACTGCTGGAGGCCAGGGTTAACAAGTCTGAAGGGATCTTCCTTTCTGGAAGGATCTGCTGTCTTTGTGCCTTAAGGCCTTAGACATGCAATTACACACATACATCCATTCAACTTCAGTGGACTCAAGACTAGAACAGCTCAAGCAAAGGATCGAGGCCTCACATCTGGGACCTTCAAAAAAAGTGCACAAACACACATACTAGTTGACAGCACAATATCTTGTTGTTCCCTGCTTACTTGGCCAGGGTCACTTTTCCAAGTTCCCAGTCCCACGAGAGGCATCTTCTGCCCAGTGTGGAGTGTAACGAAGTCGCATGTCGCAGGCATTTTTGCCTAGAGAATAAAAAGGACAAAGAGTTTTGCAGCAATTCTTTAAGTTGCAACAATTTACCTTTTCTACTCACAATGGCAACGTTTTTTCATCAACAAAGGAAGGGCTTACAGCATGTCCCAACATCCTCACAACCTATGTTTCTGGTCAAACAGGTTAAAAGAAACTGCATTCAGGATGAGCTCTGAAGCTGGCTAGCTGATTTAGTTACTTCCCAAGATCTGATACATCCAAATCATTGATGCTATTTGTTTAAAAAAAAAAAACAACAAAAATAATCAGAAGTGGAAGAATGCAATGTTAGTTGCCTATCTGACAATGTAGGAGGAATGGATGTTTTCAGAGTTCAGCATCCACATAACATAACATCCCAAAATAGGTCTGCCTTCTCAGTGTTGTAATTTTCCTCACATAATTAGGTCCCAGCTCATGGATGTGTTCACACCAAGTCTATGCTTTCAGTTTCTTGTTTTGCTTCTCAAGCCAAACTTTTATAGATTTAACAGCAGACACCAAACAACACACTTTGTTTTTCAGAGAGACATACAAGAGCAGTTGGAGTGATCCTGACCTGAAGGCCCTTGTACACAAAGCAGATGGGGATCCCTGTAACAGTTAACCTGAGTAGGTTCAGGCTTGTCTTGTGCTGTGGGATGCACAAGCTGCAGGATCAGCTCAGCAGTGACCTGTAACAGGAGTCTGCAGGTAGCTCGCACTTTGTACCTGCAGTTATGCCACCTATGTGTCTTTGCCATTATATAAAAAAGCAGAAAGTTCTCCTGCAAGCATCCTTTCTGTTTGGCAGTGGAAGTGATGAATAGAGGTGCTTTCTTGTAAAAGAATCCCTAGCAGTTCAAATGACTAAAACAGGGTAACCCCTGCTATGGACAGGGTCTGCACACTGTGCTGTGCAAGATCTGCTCAATGCTGCACAAGCTGGGGCTCCCAGCACCTGAAGAGATGCAGAATTATCAACACTCTCCTCTTTCTTTAAAGGGTTAGCTCTAAAAAACATCATTTGAGATGATACCTTAGAGTCTGAGTGCCTTTCTTATGAGGATTGCAATGGGATAGCACCTCCTGGTGCAAGACAATCATTACACTCAACTAATAGTCCTGGATTTGCACAAAGTCCAGCTATTGGTGCTGAAGACAATCACTGGTGAACCAAACTGCAGGTGTACATCTGTTTTATTGGGGTAGGAGGTCAGAGAGAGCAGGATGATGGTGCCAACAGTATTCTCTTCTACTCCGAGCTTGCACAGCCATTTTGCAGCCAGCTACATGCAAGTGGGTGCTGTTTACTGAATTTAGTTGCCTAAATCTTCTTTAGAAGGACAGAAGGACATCTTACATCATGCAACACAACTGAAAACTTAAGGTTTTTTGATTCACTTTGGCCTATAATACAAATAAGATATTAACTGCGTGATTTACACAACCATGTTATGCAATCATCTTAAAGGTAAGAGTTCAGCCCAGAAGACAAGGTACACATTTAATCAATAACTAGCATCAGCACATTTTTAAGAACCATCTTGCTTCATGTAACTTTGCATATTAATTCTGCAGAGAGATAGCCTCTGGAAGAATGGAATACATCAGAATGGCAGACACTGGAAAAAAATGCTAATTAATACTTTCCACTCAAATTCTTCCCTAAAATAGAGGATTTAGGAGAATCACATTTAATGATGCTAGCCATGATTATTCAGCTCTTAAAAGAGCTGGAAGCCTCTTCTTGGAAGTACAGACATAAAAACAAACATAAAAGCAAGCTAATTCTGGACAAATAAGATATGGTTATGGCTTAATATCACCAACCTACTACCACATTCACATAAAGGAATTAAAGCTCAGAGTAATTCAAAGACGGTGTAAGGCTGGGAGGATGCAGCAATAACCACAAGCAGTAACACAAAGTACCTCGGTTCATCAGTCTACAGCTACAGCTCATTTTTAACCTAGAGCAAGGAGTCTTCCAGGAATAAAACAACCATAGTTATGCATACCATTAATATGTATAGATATGCAAAGAGGCACGTATTAACAATACTCAAGTCGCTGTAACTGAGCAGTGTCTGCCACACAGCTCAGGGGTAGTAACCATTCTGCATTTTGGCTCCTCCGGAGGAGCCAAGTGCGCCCACCTGCCCCTTATCGGGCAGCGCAGGGCGGGCCCGCGGGGGCGATAAGGCGGGCCCGCAGCCCCACACAGCTCCTGCACTCACCGCCGCTACCGACTGCCGCCGTCACTGGGGCTGCTCCTGCTCCCGGGGCTGCTCCCGTCACTGAGGCGGCCGCTGCTGCCGCTGCCCGGCCCTTCCGCTTC